GTGGTGATGGGGATTTGATATGCTGATTATTTGCTGACGAACTCGTTGAGACGTTATCATTGTTATTATTGGTTGAAATCGAGATTGAATCGTATAATTGTTGTAGTAATGGAATATCGCTTGGATCGGCATTTTTACTGATAATAGGAACAATTGTGTGTACAAACGAGGTCAGAAGACATTGACAGTTTATGACTGCTAATTCTAATGCTTGATGATTAGAGAAATTTTGATGCAGAGAAGATTTTATTTGATTAATTTCAGTTGTAACCGACTCTAGCGATTTTGAGATATCATTTAAAGTATTCAGTAGATTTGCTTCATTAGTTGTTGTGCTAGAGGGTCGTAACGCAACAGTGGTAGTTTGTTGGTTTGACTGAGGAGGATGTTGTTGAGAGTTTTGTGAGGAAAAAAGTGGTGGTGCAGTGGATAACGCCTCTGCATATGACTTTGCTTTTATATTGTTTATGTATTGTAAACGCACTTTGCATCCGGGATAGGTGGCTTTATGAGCATCTCCACAATTTGGACAGTTCAGAGTTGTATTTGTATAATTATCTAATCCGTGGTTACCACTGCATTTTCCACATTTTATTTGATTATTACATTCGTTTGCGTAATGTTCGAGCTGTTGACATTTGAAACACCGGATTATTTTTACCGGTGGAATATATTCAACCACCGGGTAAGCGAACGGTGTAACAATTAACTTTCGCTTCTGTAAGAGACCGTCACGAGCAGTTTCATTTGAAAAATCGATTCGGAGGAGGGATGTTGGAGTATTTTGTGCAGCATTTTTAATTCGTGATACAGCGACAACATCGCCCATGTCGCCAAAACCAAAAAATTTTTTCAAATTTTACGCAGAAAAACGCATGCAAAAACTTAAGTGAAGTAATGCAAAATATGGTTACACGAGCAAAATAAATACAATATTTTGTGTAAAAAAAATTTTGCGTAATTCTGCAAGAGTGAACTGTTTGCGTTACAACGCATGCAGGATTTTCTCCCGTTTTTTGCAAAAACGTTCGAACCCGCCCATAAGCAACCCTCGCGGTCTATAAGACCCCGCTGACTAGCCCACCCTCACCCTCACCTTCACCAGTCTCCTCCAAGCTACGAGGAGCAACTTAGAAAAAATTTTCTAAGTGACTCCATAGTGGAAAAGCAACCATTGATATAGATATAAGGCTGCACAAATTCCGCTTTTTCAAGTTATACACTAAATATGATGACTCATCGATGAGTCATCATATTTCACCCACCCAAAAAGCGCACTTTTCTGCAGAAATCGTGAAAAAAATTTGACATGGGTTACATACAAGTACATATTAGGTTTATTTGGCGAAAAAACGCAAAACTTTTACTAATTTTGGGCTAATACAAAATTTTGTAAATATTTGGTCAAATAATTTTGCAAAATTTTGTTTCTTGCAAAAAATTCGCAATAAATTTGTCATATTTTTTGCAAAAACAAAATTTTGCAAAAAATGAAAAAAAGATTATCTACAAAATTCTGCATTAGTTGACTTTTCTGCAAAATTTTGTAAATATTTGGTTGAATATTTTTGCAAAACGTTGTTTCTGGCAAAAATCCGCAATAAATTTGTCATATTTTTTGCAAAAACAAAATTTTGCGAAAAGTAACAAAAAAATTATCGACAAAATTCTGCGTTAGTTGACCTTTTTGCAAAATTTTGTATGCAAGTCGCTCTTTTCTGCGTTATTTTAACGTTTAACGCAGAAATTAACTGAAAAATTTCTACATGGGTTGATTCCTGAAATACGAAATTATTGAATATTTCTATGTCGTTCATCATTTCATCAAAATGTTCTTGTGTTTCGTTTAAAACTTCTTTAGATATAACGTGATTCTCATCGAACACTATCATCGTCGACACATCATGTTGAAAATAATTATTGAATTGTTTTAGTTGTCCAAATAACTGCATAATTTGAGACGATGTATTACGGTCTAATGAAGGGAGTAGTGACAGATGTTCGCTAATCAATTGTTTAGATAATCGATCTGTTCGTCCATAACAAGCAGGTATTGTCGTAGATATATTAATTAACAGCAAATGACAAGAATATTTTGTAATCGGAAATGATGTACCTATAATTTTGACTTGTTGGTGAACTGTCACAGGAAGCAACATCGATGTACCAAGGAATAATATAAGAATAATTGAACGCTTAATACTATTCATTACTTAATCGAGAAAAGTAATATTTTTAGTCTTTTTAGTAGCAAAAAATGCTCACACTAATAATAAGACATTGCACTGTTTACAAACCAAAATGGAATTCATTTATTTACTATACTTTAGAAATCATCTTCATAACACAAACGCTACACCATCAACTTTTCTCTTTTTCATATTTTGATTACTAAACTGTAGATGTCAATTTTACTTTTGTCTCATATAAAGTGCAGATAACGTGAGTTTATCAAAAAGCACCTAAGATAAATCAAACCACAAACTTTATAGATGTTGAAAACAAAAGTGTAAGGACAATAAATTTGCACAAAGAGGAAAGAAAGTTAAAAAAAATTATACACAGACCTGGCTCAGTTATTAGTGTGGACACAGTTCATTGAACCTGCTACGATTTGTGAAGATTATGATCTGATAGCTCATGAATGTCACTGATCATACTACCGTTAGTGTTCTAATAGTATGACAAAATATAAATTTAAATATAAAAATATAAATTTTTCTTAATAAACAAAAAGGGATTTTAACAGTTCATCATATCTGTAAGTATATCCGTCATTTTATCATTTCATTGTCAAGAACTAAACATGTGCGTTATCAGGTATCAAATGCCGAACTGTGGACTGTGTTCGGATGAATGTACCGATGTACTGTGCGCTGATTGCTTCACTCAAACTTGTTACGAAATTTTTACCACTTGTTTAACAAAACTGAATGATGCAGCAACAAGTTTTCCTCAAATCGAAGACGTTTCCAGAAGACTTGTATCTGTTCTACAACAATTTACCTTAATTTTTTATCTATCAGATGAATTTGATCCGACAGTTCATCAGTAAGGTTCAATAGCGCGGCAATATGTGCCATACTGCGGGGATATGTCAACTGATCCTAATGAAGAAAAGTTATCTAAAGATGTGAACGACATAGGTTATACATTAATAGCGTTATTTGCAAATGGAGATGGCAACTGTATATATAATGCAGTGGCCACTCTAGCATCAGAATCACAATCGTTTGCAGTCGAACTGCGTGTACGTACCATCATCGAGTTAACTCTGAATACAGCTTATTATATGCAAGAATATGCTTGGTACATAGGGGATCTTAATCAATATAAATTATCATATTTAACAAAAGACAAAACATATGCTGAGCCCTGGGATCTTTTTGGTTTATGCAATGTGCTAAACTGTAACATAAAGTCGATTTTTCCAATAATTGATACAATACCCATCACAATAAACCACGATAAAATTGATATGAACAGAATTTTTAAACCACGTACACCAGCCTCTCGAAACAATACAATTTATCTGCTTTGGAGTCGATAGGAAATACCTACCATATGGTTTTCTTACAAAATTTCTTACTGGATTCCTGACCATTTTGCTGCTTTGGTAAAGCCTAAGGTATTAAAAGAAACAATCTAATATATATGATTTCATGTACTCAATTAATCTGAGCATTTCTATGTATAGTATTTTTTATCGTTTAGCGTGTTTCGACCGCATCGGTCATTTCATTTACGAAAAAGGTGTGTCGTAAAATCACGTACAGCCATCACTAAGAAATCATTTTTTCCAAATTTTAATCCACAGGGTTTCACCTTTCGTGCCGATAACAATTCTGAGTACGACAAAGATACCAATGAAAGCGAGTTAAACGATACAGCGCCACAACCTGAAAACACAGCACCGACGGATTTCTTAACAACAACTGCAAAACTGGCCGAAGCTGTTCTTACAATCAAAGATAAATCGTCGAAAGTAGTATTTATGAGTTTGGGCGGACAGAAAGATCCAGATTTGTAGTACTCACCTAAAGTTTCCCACTTGGCGTCTGAAGAACCATGGTAGCTAATAGTTTCCAATTTTATGTGACCATAGCTCTCACCGAATGTTGATCATCTAACAAGTTTGAGCCACTTTGACTGAATGCTTTGGCAGATATAAGCATTTCATTTCTTCCCCGTAAAATGCTAGTAATTCTCGATCCAACAGAAAAGAAAATTTTTTCGTTAATAAAACTTTTACCAAGATACAGCCATGGCTCTCCTCTAGAACTGATCTGAATTTTAACTGTTAGAAATGCATCTATTTTGCGATCAATAGTCTTCTGAAATTCCAGGTCCCGAAGGAATTACGACATTGACATTACTTTCACTTCAAAATTGAATCAAATAATCTATAGTGTCTCTAGATTATCTATTTAAAGTATGAGGGTCAACTATTGCATAGGTCCGAAAATCTACTGAGAATGTACAAACCGTAATGCAAAGATAGGTCGGGACATGAGCATCAGAAACTATCCACTATCGGTTCCAAAATACAAGGCTGGTGATTGTTTTTGGAATAACTCAATAGAAATAACAGAAAGAGACTTGCGGTTTACACCATTCGGTAGCCAAGACCTGAAGCCATGTTTCCATAAAGTAAAACGAATTTGGGGAAAACTTCAAAGACCGGTTTTTCATGAGATTTGCAGAAAACCAGTTCGGTCCGCTGAAACTTGGCAGTTTTTTCATAGATACATAGTCTGAAGTGTCCTCTATAAAACTGGATCCAAGCAGCATGTTGGAAATCCATGATTCGGGAACTATGGACGCTTTTCCTGAAGCCCCACCACTCCTCTGCCGTTAGGTTTGGGACTGTCAGAAATGAATAAAAATATAGGTTATCGACTATGCTGAATCTCGTGGCAATATAAATTTTCAGAACAAAATGCCAGAACCGGGTGAAAACCTATCCTAAGTGAAATAAACCACTTTAAATTATTTTCATCAAAAATTAAAAAATTCATAACTTCGTCAAAACTCATCTAACCCACTTCAGAATATCAGGAAATACCCTATTTTATCTGATCGTATTGTCGACCAGATAACTCAAGAATTAGGCAATATCCTTTCGGAAAAATAAGAATGATATTGATCTATATATACGCCTTGACTGTACTCTACTTCTATATCTACGCGTAGACTTATTTTTGATAGGTCTATGTACGGAATAGAACAAATTTTGATTTTTGATTAACAGTTACAAAAGCTAATGCAATTTAAAGCTGAACTGTATTCTTCCTCTTTATAAATATCAGTTATACATATGTATATATGTATTTAAATATCCGTTTTCAAATCAAATAACCAATTTTACCGCATTATGAAGATTTTTTTCCTTTCTAAAAAGATACATAGAATATTATATATATACTTACATAAAAAGATACATTAGAAATTTTCCTGATTTTCTCACAAGTTAGCTAACTAAAACAGCCTTAATTTAAAGGGCACCCTTTCTTCAATTTTTAATTAATGTGGCGTACTACACTCGCACTTTGAAATAGACTATTTTGCCCAAAAGGATACCGCCTAGTTTTTGAGTTATCTGGTTCACAATATGATCGTTTGGCAAAAACAAAGCACTTTTTCTTATCGAAGAGAATATTCACTAAAAATATTTAACTGTTAATAGTCAAGTTCTGCAAGAAGTTCGGTCAACTAAGGTGGCTTATCGGCCTTTTCTTCGTATATTAAATCTAGGAAGAAAGTCGTTGAGCATGAATGTTATGTGTCATCTAATTAGTTGTTCAGTATATCAAGCTCATTATGTAGGCACCCAAGCAAAACCTCTCTAGCAGAAATATCTAGATGCCTTTGCTGGTGCATCGGCCGATTTTTTTTACTCATTTAGCTAGATGCAACTGCTGGAGCATCGGGTTATCTAGATGCATCGNCTAGATGCATCGCTCGATGCACTTCTAGATACATCGATCAGTGTATCGCACAAATGTCGCCAGATATCGGCGAAATGAGGCATTCACCTTTTTATTTTGCGGATTACAGTCGATACATCGGGCGATGCAGCTAGATAAGTCGATGCTCCAGCAGCAGCATCTAGCTAAATCACCCTCAAAAAATCTAGTTATCTAGCTGCATCTAGTAACTTTCCCAGCAGAAAAAAAAAGCGATGCAGTGTCGTTTTTTTTAGCTTGGGCAGTACCGGTACTACTCTCCGAAAACGTCTTAATTGTAAATACTAGCAAGTAACAGCCAGTAGGAGAGCAAAGGAAGAGCCATGATTCAAAAAGTTTCAAAGTTGAATTCAAAAAGTTGCCTAACTACTAACCAAAAAAGCTAGATAGGCTTACAAGAAGTTCGGGTGGGGTTCCAGCCGTTCTGCCCGGTCTTCAGCAATTTCAGGGTCATGACGCTTGAATAAAGGTCGAAAGCTCGAGTAGTGTTTTAAGTGATAACTTGAACATGCATTTTGTCGCAGTGCTATATTTCTTACTTAAATCTATTTTCTTCACTGCACCACCTCCAAATTTTGATAACATGAGTATCACAGGATAAGAACCAATTGTATGCATTGTAATAATTTTATATTGTAAGGTGCAGGCAATTCAAAAGATAAGCAAAAATTGTTTTTGATTTTTTTGATCATTAGATCGAGCTCATCGGACTACCTAGAAAAAACTGAACCGTGGATTTCGAAAGTCTTTTTCCATTTAAAAGATTTTAAAATTAAAAATGGGCAAAGTTCAGCTAAATTTCGAAAAAAAAACAAAATTTCATGGTTTATTGTCCTTTTAAAATTTCGGTACTATTTTTTTCTGATTTTACATACAAAATTGAATATAAAGAGTAATTCAGCTATATTTATAACCTGAGGGGTCGACTGAAATTGCTGAAGGCCGGGCAGAACAGCTGGAACCCCACCCGAACTTCTTGTAAGCCTATCTAGTTTTTTTGGTTAGTAAGTAGTTAGGCAACTTTTTGAATTGAAATCCATTTTTAAAAAATCAATATTTTAAAATTTTTTAAATGGAAAAAGACTTTCGAAAATCCACGGTTCGGTTTTTACCAAGGTAGTTCGATGAGCCCGATCTACTGATAAAAAAAAATCAAAAACAATTTTTGCTTCTCTTTTGAATTGCCGGCACTTTATTATTGCGTTAGTATCAATAATAAATAATATGTACAGACTAGCCTATATATACATGAAATAATGGTGATATTCTAAATAACAGTGATGTATAAAGCAAAAAAGATAAAATACAAAATTCCAATGCCTACATAATAATAAAAAATGGTGAACATTCTTATTATGATGGTAACAGTAATAGAATGTTTCTTGTTTTGTTCCAGATTAATAATAGACTCATATAGAGAGTGAACAAACGGGCAACAGAAAACTAATAAGAGAAAAGTATCATTGAGGAGGGTTCAATTGTCTGTGTTAATAAATGACTATATTATTTGAGTCCAATATTTTTCACGATCTAGACGCTGCTGTTCATTGATGTAGTTAGCTCTAATAATAAAAATTTTTAAGTTAGTTATTGAATGAGTAGGTAAGGTAAAGTGTTTGACGCAATTCGTATCATCAAGGTACTGGGGATGAATCGATGTTAATGAAGATTAAGACGTTTTCGGAGAGTAGTACGCGTACTGCCTACATAATGAGCTTGACATATTGAACAACTAATTAGATGGCACATAACATTCATGCTCAACGACTTTCTTCCTACACTTAATATAAGAGAAGAACAAACTTTATTTTCATGGAATATCTATCAATAGTCATGCACTAGTTACAGTTAACTGTCATAACTGTAGGCAAATATTCTAGAGTGAGTTAGTCTTCTACGATTTGCATGCATTTTAAGAATGTCCCTTAAAATGCATGTAAATCGTAGCAGACTAACTCACTCTAGAATATTTGCCTACAGTTATGACAGTTACAGTTACACAGTTATAGCAGTTACAGTTTTTACAGTCACACAGTTATGACAGTTAAAGTTATAACAGTTACAGTTAACTGGTAAAAAACTGTAACTGGTGCATACCTATGTGTCGATGATATCGATACGGAAGATAGTGTTTGGTGCGCTGATGAGAAATTTTAGTGTATGTTGATAATAAACAAATAATAACAAATTATGGACTCACACGTAAAAATAAATTTTTATTTTAAGAACAAAAACAGTTCTAAACAAATCAGTACCGTGTTAAATACCCTTTCATTTTGATTCATACAAACGACTGGGAACTAAATTGAGGAATTTTTCTAGTACACGTAATTTAATTTTGGTCCATTCTGCCAGCAATAGATTTTGAAGTTCTTTTCTATATTTTGGGCTGATGTTTCTTCATTTGATTTTCAAGCATGTACCACAGATTCTCCGTGGGATTGAGATCGGGTGAGTATGGGTGAGGGTGTATACATCGGATTATATTACAAAAAAATGTGCCATTTTTAATTTTTTGCAAGATTCTACCGCGGCTGAACCGAGCCTAGAAGGCTTAAGGACTAATGAAACACAGATCTCTAAGTTCCATTCGTCTTCGAAGCTAATGGAGGAAGGGAATCAACACACTAATCATTTTTCACTAGTTTTTTTTCTCAAGGCCAACCTCAGCCCACCTGAAACAGGAAAAAACATTTATCGAAAAAATATTTCAACAATGGATGATGGAGATGAAACTAGGATAGCACTTTCACGCATCAAAAAGTATGATTTTTATGTCTATGCATAATAACAAAAGTTGCTATCACATGTGCACTGAGCTGATAAAATATGATAACCTTAAGTCAATAAAAAAAGTGGATTTTTTAATTCACCTTTTGCTCTAGAGTGTGTAGTGCTGTTCGAAAAGAAAGTTAAAAGGCTTCTTCACATCAAGCAATACTACTCCACAATATCCATATACTTTTTTCTCTTCTGTTATATTTTTTTTCCTGTTTCCATCATGGCTCTTCCTTTGCTCTCCTACTGGCTGTTACTTGTCAGTATTTACAATTACATCGGTGCAGCTGTTTTAACTTATAAACCTGAATTATTAGAACATTTGTTTGTTGGTAGTGCAACTGTACTGGTCAATGATGGTATAACAGCACTCATTTTACGACGTGTGATTGTTTGGTGGACATTAACTTTTGCTGTATTGCGTACATTAACTGCTTTTTCTTTACATAATCGTGCACTGTACTTATCCACTTTATGGTCCTTTTTGGTCTGGTTAACGTGGTCATGTAGTGAAGCATTTTATTTTCGTACGGTTCCTTCACACACATTGTTGTTTGGTATGGCCATGGGTACTGTTCCAACAGTTTGGTTGCTGATCTACTTACCAACCATCTGGTCAATCACTGCAAATACAACATCTAAAACTGGGAAACTACATAGCAAATGAGACTCCGACGAATTGACAATGTTATAATAACCGCTAATGTGCTTGTCTCAATTTTCGTGCATCAGATACCCTTTACGCCTTGCTCTTTGTATCATATTCTCTCTACCTAAGGCGCTCACGCGACGCTGCCTTTTGTTCACGCCTCTATCCAGGGCACAGCGCGAGCAATCTAACCTTTTTTTTTCGACGCCGTTGGCATAAAATCTTCTTTCTTTCTTATACTCTATGAATACGTTGTTTCATCAATGACATATGTATTTCAATCAGGACCGTTTTATCTTTATTTTCTATGTCTGGTTATTTTTTACAATCATAACAGTTTTCTGCTAACCACAATGGTCAACAAGAAAGAACAAAATATTGAACAGCAAAAACAGTTCTACAGAGTGAAGTATTCTTGTTTCGTCGACAACTCACTCTCACACCGCACCTCCCGCCTCTGATGTTCTCTGATCTATATTCTTTGAAGTGGCCGCATTGTTGACGAAACGAGAATACCCCCTACAGAGTCTATATAAAGCCTTGTATACCGAGAAAAAAAGAGCTTAAAAATTAGAACTAGCAAAATATATGAAGCTTTACAGAACAGGGTGCTATACTAAACGTACCGGCGAACGTTACTAACATTTTGCTGCAAGAAATACCAGAAATAGTGACATGGTCGTTCGACTTTAGACGTTATTACGGAATTCATTGGAACCTATAATACTATGCTGATTGTTGAAGAGAATTTGAGCAAAAACTACAGCGTTAAATTATTTCCATTACGCTATGGAAGCCGTCGATTCAGTAATAAGTCTACGCGCAGACGTATAGTATAGTCTATGCGTAGATATCGATCAATATCATTCTCTTTTGTTTCTCTGGTTTTGCTGAATGAAAGAAATGGAATAGATTTCTACGTGTAGAATAGAACAAAGGACCCCGCCGTTTAAGAAAAACAACTCCGTTTGAGCTTATATTCTACAGTTTTGTAGAAGAATGGAAGGCGAATTTTTCTGTCGTCTCAGAATTTTTTCAGACCCCTCCTTATTAACAAACCTAGGCTAACAACTTTTCTCAGTTGATATACTACCAGTCTAAATGATGGGTCCTATAAAATTTTATAGAAATGTTATGTAGGGCTCGTTCACATATTACTTTGTTCAGTTTTCAATGCTCGTTCAGAAACACTATGTAAAGACCAGCCAATTTCTCTTCTAGACGAAACGCAAGTGAACTTTCTCTAAAGAGTACAGTTTTGTCCAAAAAACTGCTTTGAGTTATTTGGCTCGCGTTTGTTAAGCTTGTGCTGTTTCAAAAAGATTTTTGGCCCAAAACATGCTCATCACTTGCGCAACAAAATGGCCTTTCAACGAAGTTCAAATACTCACGCCCCTAGCCTACAGAAACAATTTATTGAAAAAAGTACCATTTTTCGACTTTTTCTCACTCAATTTCACCTCTCACATGTTAAAAACACATTTTTAAGATAGGGCGAAGTTTCCTGAAGACGTGGCATCTGCATTTTCGAGGAAAAATACCATAAATATCTAACTGCATTAGACTTTGCACTTTTACACTAATCTTTCAGCTAACGGCAGCGCCTACTATTTGTGAGTTGGCAAGTTAACGTAAAAAACAGCTTATCAATAATTAGACGGTTTTTTCTGATGGAATTAACACAAATGGTCATCAAAGTTAGCCGCTCTGTACGAATATTAGCATGGAAAGATACGATGAAAGAGAACAGAAAGGGAAAAGTTGGGGAAAAGATAATTCCACGTGCTACTTTCTAGCAGAATGGACTAACAGAAAGGAGAAAAAATCGTTTAAAATACCCACTTTGTCTTCGTACACTTTTGTACAATTTCTTTGCCATTTTCACACTTTCGTTTTTCAAAAAATGCCTCACCATCGAAGTAAATTTATCGCGGTCACCTGTGGCAAGCCGATTGATCTCTCTAAACCAAATACTTTTCGAAACATTTCTACGCCATCATACGAGTGGTTACGAGATTTTTTAGCACGTACGGGATCAGTTTTCGAAGAAGACGAAACACCTTATGTTTGTTTATCCTGTGATACGAAATATCGACGTGCAAAGAAGAAAATCGATCGTGAAAAGCAAGAACTGTTTCGTTTGAATGAGAACTTTAATCTGGTCGTTAATTTGCAAGAATGTTGGAGAGTTCCAATTCAATTCAGCCGCTGTTTTATTTATCGAATACATTTATCAAACAGTTCTATTTTAGTTCCCGCCCCAGCTCGTTTGGACCTATTTCTTGACCATGATGTTTACATTCATTCAAAACAGAAAATCTGCGCCAGCCATTTGAAATCAGCTCACTTAGACGTGGCTACAACAATCGATACCAGTCAATTAGAGCCACCGAAGTTTTCCAGTCAAGAAGCTAGCCAATTGATTTTGGATTTAAAAAATGAAGTCAAAAAGAAGCGTAATCAATCTCTTCTCTCTTTTGACAATCATCTTATGGAAGAAGAAGACTTCAAGACTTTTACTGGTTGGGGAAAAACGGAGTTAGAGACAATGTTGAAAGTTATTTTAGACTCGAATTCAATGCGAGGAAGCAAACATAGATCAATTGCTGACGTATTACTCATGTTTTGAGTTAAGTTAAAAACAAATCTAACTTACAATCAGATTGGAATTCTTTTTAATTACGACACGAGTTCCGAAGATCGTCGAAAACGCGTTTCTAACTCGTGCGATGCCGTAATGGATTGTTTACTAAAACATTTTGTACCAAATTTTTTAGGACTAAATCATTTAACTTATCAACAAGCACTTGCACAGGACACTATTTATTCGAAAACATTCTTTGGGAATGGATTTAAATTCACATGGGATGCTACTTATTTTTTTGTGAATAAAAGTAGTGATCACGTTCTGCAAAAGAAAACTTACAGCGAACAAAAAAAAAGCCATTATGTTAAGATGATGTCTATTACATTGTGTATTTGTAATTACAAAAGTGAGATGTGCAGTCGAAATGTATCATGGTCGACTGAAAAAGTTTTTGTTGTTTTATCAAACTATTTCAAATTCGCTCTTTGAAAAAATTGCTGCGTGTGTAAAAATTGCATCCGCAGCTCTCAATTGTTTTAGACCTCCACTCATCTCAAGTGTCGATCCAAAGAAAGTAGAACGTTTAGCAAAAATTATGAAAATTAGAGCGGACGCAGAGAATGAACTGAAAGAACGAGTTTTGGAAAACCCATTCAACTCTCGTTGTAAATGGGACAAGCTTGAAGACACGCAAATTGCTTTCCCAAAAATGACAGAAGAACAGCTGAGAGATTTGTGTTTCGGAACTTATCAAATTAAACAGGCTCGACGATATACTGAAGCACATTTGAACAAAAATGACGGGGATTATGAAGTACAAGTGACAAAACACAGCGACACAATTCTTAGATGTAAAATTGACTCTCGACACTCCAGTCACTGGAGTTCTACTCAGTATTACTGTTGGATCGAATATAAACTGGGTGATGATGACGAAGAAGAAAGTAGTTCAGAAAGTGACGATTCGTCTGATGAGGACGACGATGATGATGAATATACATTAGTGACTCGGTTTTATGAAAAACTACCAATTAAATCATGGTACTGTCAATGTCCGACCGGTGAAAGGAGCTGTGGGTGTTGTGCTCACATAGCTTGTGTGCTGTGGTATCTCTGTTATGAAAGACATCATCAGTTTACGCCGTCGAAATACACAGAACGTTATCGTCAAACGCTAGATAACATGGAAACTAACTGATTTTGATAAAAAAAACTTGTGCGTCAATGCAAAACATGTTCACTTCTACACTTTTAAATGTAAAATAAGCTGTTTTCTTGATTTAATAAAATTAGTCGTTGAAAGACTAGTGTAAAAGTGCAAAGTCTAATGCAGTTAGATATTTATGGTTTTTTCCTCGAAAATGCAGATGCCACATCTTCAGGAAACTTCGCCCTATCTTAAAAATGTGTTTTTAACATGTGAGAGGTGAAATTGAGTGAAAAAAATCGAAAAAATCATTTTTTAAAAAAGTCGAAAAATGGTACTTTTTTCAATAAATCGTTTCTGTAGCCTAGGGGCGTGAGTATTTGAACTTCGTTGAAAGGCCATTTTGTTGCGCAAGTGATGAGCATGTTTTGCGCCAAAAATCTTTTTGAAACAGCACAAGCTTAACAAACGCGAGCCAAATTACTCAAAGCAGTTTTTTGGACAAAACTGTACTCTTTAGAGAAAGTTCACTTGCGTTTCGTCTAGAAGAGAAATTGGCTGGTCTTTATATAGTGTTTCTGAACGAGCATTGAAAACTGAACAAAGTAATATGTGAACGAGCCCTACATAACATCTCTATAAAATTTTATAGGACCCATCATTTAGACTGGTAGTATATCAACTGAGAAAAGTTGTTAGCCTAGGTTTGTTAATAAGGAGGGGTCTGAAAAAATTCTGAGACGACAGAAAACTTCGCCTTCCATTCTTCTACAAAACTGTAGAATATAAGCTCAAACGGAGTTGTTTTTCTTAAACGGCGGAGTCCTTTTCTAGAGGTAGGTCTTTTACTGTTTTAATTGCCTAAGGTGACTGTTTCTTTGCTGCCAATAACGTACCATTTCATATTAACATCGTTTGAGAGGCATTACACGTAAGCGATGAGCACATCGTGTAGAAGTTCCTCAACCACATATTTTAGATTTTTTTGAGCATCCTGACGGCTTTCATAAAGCAACAGTTTTATGTGTGCTGGATAGTGACTGGGGTATGGACAATGTGCGTGAGAGAAAGAATTGGATGTTGTACATCTGACCGTTTTCTCGAAATTCATCATCATTGCTCTCACTATCACTAATGAAAACAAAATTTTCATTTTATATTTTTTAATTCTTATCTTAGCAGCGCGATGACCATTAATTATTGTTTGATTAATACGTTTTAACAGTGTTTTAGGTGTAAAATTATATGATGATAATAATTTATTTGATGTTAAATATTAATTAACATCCATGTTTATATAACTCAACATTTCTATTATATCGATAATTTTCAGTTAAATCTTTCCATTGAAGTGTTTCTAACTGATTAAGTATGGTATGTATCTCTTCTGTTTCTATATTTATTGTTTGTGGTATTACAATAGGCTGAATGAAGACCTGCTTGAGCATTACGTGTTGATAATACATAAACAGTTGATGACGAACTATAATAATAACAACAACAAGAAGTCAGAAGGTAGCGTCAGTATTCTCTCTTTATTGTATATCTCTTTGACTTTTTGTTTCGTGATTGTTCATGTTCAAATGAGATGGCTATAATCCAAGGGGGGAAAAGCGGATTCCCGTATTCCGAAATTCTCATATACTCGGAAGTATTCGCAGACATTCGGAAGTATTCTCATTCCTCCAAAAGTTTTCTCACCAACTTTTAAAACTATTTTTAACAACTATAGCTCTTAGTCAATGTACTGAAACAGATTTCATATTCTTAAGTCAAGAAGTATCAAAGATAAAGAGAAAGTTTTCCTTTTGGACTAAGACACCATAAATAGTTTTTATTTTTATATGGTAATACAACATATCTTTCAGCGTGGTTTTTGTTTATTCATTCTTTGAACACGTATTAAGCGACCGTTTGTGTGGGCAGAGTGTACACCCCATCCTGCTTTCGGAAATTTTGGTGGACGGAGCCCGCTTTTCCACTGCTTTTGGCCCACTGCTTTTTAGACCTAGTTATGATCACATTTTGTAGAGAAAATGATTTTACACATTTCGAAGTGCATATGAACCATTATAACATTATGGCGACTTATTAAAATAACTTTTCTGAGGCGGTACATAAAGCATATCGGTGTTTAACAAAAACGATTTTGTTCAAAATCTAATATAAAGTTATGGTAAAGCTTGATATAGAAAAATAGCTCTTGAAAAGCTCTACAATATCTGTTAATAGGAAACTTAACGAAGCCCGGCAGCGGTTTTTGTGTATTAAATACTTCGCCACTTAATCCCACATTTGGTCCAAAAATTGTTCGCTACCTTCAGTTTTCATTTTTCTCGTCGACCATAATAGCCGGAATAAATTTGAAAAAAGATTTGAACAGCTGATTTCCGATCTCAGGTGGTGTATTCAGAGGTTCCATCAAAACGCCTGAAATCAGGCTCTCTGGAAAACCAGAATTTCAGAACATGAAGTCTCCGAGTTCAATCTAGAAATTCTTTTCAAATACGTTCATCCTGTAGAGCAAACATTTCTGAAGATAATGAGACGTCTCCCAGCTCTTTACGATATTTATTCATAGAGCAGCATTCAATTTATGGAAGGCCCCATAACAGCAAAACTAACGACCGTTGAGCACTAAGGGCATTGAGAAAACTAAATTCACCATTATGATCAGGATATTTTTACCTGTTTAAATAACTGTCGGATGAATTTTAAGGTCAATGTCTCGTCGCGAAATATAGTTTACGAAAAATGAGGTTTTTTCTACATGAAAAGTTACATTATTTTTCGTGACCGCCAGCATACCTCAAAAATTTTCGAACACGGCTGAAAATAGGTAATAAAATATGCTGATCATGATGGTGAATTTAGTTTGCTCAATGGTCTTGAGAATCTTTAAAAGGTTTTCTGGAGACCATCTAGAGATCTGTTCCACAACTTTTCTGTTTCTTTTGACATTGCCATCGAGAAGAGCGAGAAAAGTTGCAGATTGTGGCAAAAGTTTCAAGCTGCGATCGGCTTGGCTTTGGGTCCAACGGGAGGCCTCAAAAACCGATTTTTTGGCGTTTTGTCGGTATTCCTAAGCTTTGTTTTTGGGGGGTGTGTGTTTTTGATATATTTTCTACGCGAACAGTGGACGTTACAGCTTGGAAAACCTGTTTTTCACCGAAGGACCAAATTCCGTAAACGCTTTTTCCTGAGCCATCTTTTCACTTTGAAAAGCTTAACGGCGATATTCGTGATCAGAATAGTCGATTCTATATGACTAGACGATTCTAACGTATTCTGAAGTATTCTCATGGAATTTCAGATATTCTCTGGTATTCGCAAATATTTCCAATACTTAGAATACTCCCGAATCCGCTTTTCCCCCTTGCTCTAATCATTCGAACTGAGATTAATCAATATTACTTAATAATTGCTGTTTTATTTCACGTACAGATAATATATTTGAAACTACTAGATTATCATAAAAATGATTAAAGGTTGAGAGACACATGGAGACTGACATTCTATACTACTGTCCTCCTGCGCTACTTAATTCCACAATGAAAATACAACTGGATTTGTTGATCTATTTCGATTACTGTGATGACTTATATTTCTAAGGTCTTGAGTTTATTTCGTGAGTATTATATGACATGTATATTCTATGTATATTATTTATTCCACTACGCTTTTAAAAACTACCACTGACTTACAAAACAAAGAAAAATACCTAATACAGTAAAAAATAATGTAAATAATAATAAATAATAATACATAGAATATACATGTCATATAATACTCACGAAATAAACCCAAGACCTTAGAAATATAAGTCATCACAGTAATCGAAATAGATCAACAAATCCAGTTGTATTTTCATTGTGGAATTAAGTAGCGCAGGAGGACAGTAGTATAGAATGTCAGTCTCCATGTGTCTCCCAACCTTTAATCATTTTTATGATAATCTAGTAGTTTCAAATATATTATCTGTACGTGAAATAAAACAGCAATTATTAAGTAATATTGATCATTCCCAGTTAATCATTATTCAGTTCGAATGATTAGGGTCATCTCATTTGAGCACGAACAATGACGAAATAAAAAGTCAAGGACGCAAATATTATTCTGTACGCAATATATTATTCTGATGTGATGCTGCGCCATCTTCCCAAACTGTTCTCATTGCCTTTATCTTTGACTGTTAGACGAGCCACACCACAGCATTTCAATTCAAGAACGTAGCTATAAGTACTTCAGCATTCGTCGAAAGCTAGCTGTCAGAACAGAAATGTGCAACGGTTCGATATAGCTGCTCTGACTAATAGAAGAGTGTGGACGTCCACATTTTCTCTTTTGTACGTTACATTAACGGAAAAAAATGTAATGAGGTGTTTCTTCCACGTACAGCACCTGCCTCTTTCGATTCCGTGCAAGGACAGAAAGAAAAATTAATAGAACGAAATTATATGATGATAATAATTTATTTGATGTTAAATATTAATTAACATCCATGTTTATATAACTCAACATTTCTATTATATCGATAATTTTCAGTTAAATCTTTCCATTGAAGTGTTTCTAACTGATTAAGTATGGTATGTATCTCTTCTGTTTCTATATTTATTGTTTGTGGTATTACAATAGGCTGAATGAAGACCTGCTTGAGCATTACGTGTTGATAATACATAAACAGTTGATGACGAACTATAATAATAACAACAACAAGAAGTCAGAAGGTAGCGTCAGTATTCTCTCTTTATTGTAAGGTGCACGCAAAGCAAGGTTCGAGCAAAAAATTTTTTTTCGATGTTTCAGACACCATTCGATAGAGAATTTTGCGGCGATCAAGAATATGTGTTCCCTGAAAATTTTCGATGCTTCTTTCTATCGTAAAAATCAAAAAAACTTGAAGGGTGTCAAGAACTCGATTTTTCGCCGATTTTTTATAAAGTTGAATCATTCATG